GTAATGGTCACTTATGAAGTTAATACAGCTAAAAGTTAAGACTTATGCATCATGCTGCGCAATATTCTAACTTCTTTTCTGTTACCTTCGTAACCTTTCATTAAATCGGCCATTTTGCTTTAAACATAAGCACGGTGTTATGTACTTTCAGCTGATTGAAGATTGTTGTTAATACATTTAAAAAAAATATATTGACTGGGCTAGTATTCATCAATAGTGGGGAAACTGAAGTGAAATTTAGGACGGGGATCTTGCCACTTACAATATTTTAAATGGAAACAAAAGAAAGCTTTTATTCTATATTTTAGTTCTGCAATATAACTCTACACTTCAAGTTAAGAATGTGTACAAGTTTTTAAATTCCTATTTTAAAAGGAAAATGACTTATTTTGCAAGAGCTAAAAGGATTGACAAAATTATTACTTTTTGAAACTCAAAATATGCGAGCAGAGAAAATGGGCTTTAGTATTTTAATTTTTATCCGTGAACTAAAATACTGGTGTAAAATTATTAATAAAATATATTTTATGCTTTATGCCCTTTTTTTTAAAAAAAATCAAGTGTATGTACATTATTGAGAAAGAACTCAGAATGCAAAATTTAAAGCATACCGAGTTGGACAGCCTCTTATGACATGAACAACTGCATAATATAAATGTGCTGGTTTCATTAAAAATGAATCCTTAAAGTAGGAAACTTTTAATTTATTAACTTAAAACAAGATTTTTAGAAATTTCTAACATACTTACTAGTTCACAGTAACATGCTGCGAAAAAGAAATTCTAAATGAATCGTTTTCAGTTTAAGACAAGTGGTTACTATAGCAACCGTGAGCATAGATTAAATAGTTTGAATCTTTCAAAACCCTGATTTTAACTAATTTTTTCAGCTGTTCCACAACATAAGTGTTTCATTTTTAATAGGAAATCTCTCTTTAGACAAGAAAAAAAAAAGATTCATCTTTATTAAATTAAAAATTATATGAGTGCAATTTCCTTTTTCTTAAATTATTATTACGAATTAAAATGAACTAATTATCGAATATTTATTTCATCTTATTTATTGAGAGGCGCTGAAACAAGCTAACTACTTTTTTTTAATTTCAAGATAGTAAGAGTTCTTGAACTTTTTTAAACTATTGAAATTTCAAGTTAAAAATATCTTAAATTTTAAAACATAAAATTCGCTTAAATATAATTAAAAAAAAACATTTAAAAAAACGCACTACTTTTCAAGATATTTATAATATCAGTAGGAGCAGTAGTGGCTTATTAAAAATATAGAGAGTAGAAGAAAAAAATGGTTGCTTACAATATTACGATAAATTCGTCACTTAAAATAAAATTAAAAAGAAACTTCATCTAGAATTAAATGAATTTCAATTTATTTATATTTTTACAAATTCAACTCAAAAAAGAAAAACAACGCGAACATGTTGTGTATAAATTACAGATAGAAAATAAAGACAAATATAAACCATCTTTATTGAAATTATTAAACAAATAAGCACCGAAAAACTTTAGTACAACTTTATAGAAATTATTTTAACCACTCAACCAAATAGGAGCCACTAAAAGAAAATATTTTTGCAGTTGGAGAATAAAAATTTAAATCAAATATTGTATGAAATAGTTATGAAAGAACGGAATTTTTGACACAGAATAAAAAATAATTTGCTTTGCCATACTTCAATAAGATTTCTAATTAGAAATCGAAAATATATTGGTAAAAATCTAAATATTTTAATATGGTGATAACGTTATTTAAATAATAACGATAAATATAAAGTATATGATAATATTGCTTTATCAACAGACGATAATATTACGATCATTATCAATAACGTGATCACTACCGACAGCTATAATTTAAAATCTCGTGAGTATCGCAATCAATAATTATTGAAAATTATCATTAATTTATCATGATATGTACCATGATCATTATCGATAACAATAAAATCGCAATCATCATCGATAACGATATTATCGCACTGTGATCATGTTTCCAGAACTAGTTTTTAATTAGTGTGATAAAATTACAGAAAATTTTAAAACTTATTTTTTTTCTTATCTTTTTTTGAGTAATAAACGCATTGTTCAATGCAGACACAATACAAATGAATGATATTTCAAAATATAGCAATGTATCGTTGAATACAGATACTTTACAGCGATATATCGTAATTATTATGGAATTTTTAAAACCGTTCTTTTTGTAAAAAAAAGTTTTGTCGTCAATTATATTGCCCAGAGCAAAAATGATGTAAATAAAATTAGAAAATTTTAGATTTGTCTTGAAACCGAATTATTTTAAATGGCAATATCAATCAACAATATTTATNGTGTAGGATAAAGTCAAATTTAAATTTGGTGTATGTTTATAAAGTACGTACTTTGTATAATACCTCCCCCCCTCCCCATCGTACAAAACCGTACATAATAGCAAATCCCCTCCCCCCCTTCGGGATGTACGTACTTTTTGAACGGCCCCTAAATAAAATTGGAAAATTTTAGATTTGTCTTCAAACCGAATTATTTTAAATGGCAATATCAATCAACAATATTTATTTCATAATTCTGAAATTTCACTCTCAGTAAAGAGGAAATTTTAGTTTTAATACTTAACTTCGAAATAAAAACTTTTCTATAAATTAAATTTTTTACTAATTACCTGATTTAAAACTTTATTGGGCTATCCGCTCAGCAAATAAATTACTGAATTGAAAAAACTAAATGTCTAAATTTCAAGTAATAAGGCGAAAACTCAGTTTAGTAAACTAAGTAAGTGGTTTAACTCCTAATTTTAAGATATTTTAAATAGTGGAATAAAAATCATGAATGGTAATTAAGTCATATTTATTTTGATTCACATTATTACCAAAGTACAATTTTTTTAAATTATTTTTTTTAAAGTAGCCCAGGAAACATTTCTGGCTGTGGAAAGTAATAACATAACAAATATTTAAAGACAAATAACGAATTTCACTAGGCGAAAAAAATGACAATTTTTCACACTTTGAAAGTGATTTTAAATATTTGCACAAGTGTTAGTAATTATGCTCAAACTCAATGCTTGCACAAATTAAAATATAATAAAAATAAAAACCTTTTCTTGTCCTAGAATATTAGAATTAAGAAAAATTTAAAAATTCAATTTTTAAATCAGATAAAAGAGTTATAACTTGAGCAGTGAAGTATGGATAAACCTTATCTTGATTACGAAATTTATAATACCGGGTGTTCGATAATCACATCTTTTAACATAAGTATCTAAAATCCTTGCCAAAAAATGAAGTAGAAAAATACACACATGACAAATCAATGTTTAAAGGTGGAATAAACAAAAAAATTATTGAAATCTTACAAACAACTAGTGAGGTAGGCGCCATGAAAAACAATGACTGATGAAACTTGAAGGTAGGTCTTTCAAATTCTGTTTTCTCCGGCAGCCAAACATGTTTTCGTCTTCTTCAGTAGTAACTTAGTGAACTACGAAAGCTTTGTGTTTAATTTTTGGTTAAACATTAATTTGCGAAATAAAGATAGATTAATGGTCTTAAAATAACGCCATTCAACACCTTTCTGCTGCCATGGTTTCGGTATGTCATGTTTTTTCTCCGAGCTAGTTTGTTCCAGCAAAACCCTTACTGCCGTGGGGACAATGCAAGATTTGCTGAAACCATGATAACAGAGAGGGGGGAGGGGGGGGAAATCGAGTAGCCTTGAGATGCTATTTGCAAAATATGCAAATTCATGAGCACTATTTCGTTTCTGAAATTATTTTAAAAATAGACTTTTAGGTTAGTCATTACGGGACATCATTTTAGATTTTCAAACATCCTTGTAATTGTAAATAAAACACATCACAATTATACTGTTTGCAGCAGAAACAAAGTAATATGCCAAACAATAAAGCGCTTGAAGCAGAACAAATTGAAGATGAAGACATCTATTTCGATTCTATAGACAAACGTTTTCAAATTAAAACAGAGAAAGGAATTGAATGTGGCTATGCTTCAAACTAAAAATCAAAATTTCATTTATCAAAGGCAAAAAAAAAAAAAAAAAAAAAACTACAATGCGTACTCTTAATTATTATTTTTCTTTAAAAAAATAGTTTTTTCCACATGGTTAAAAAAATACATTGCAGTAAAAATTTTGAAAAAAAAATTACAATTAATAAAATTTTTAAAAAATTACGTTTTACACTGAATGAAAGACGAAAGATTATTCATAAATATATATCGGAATCGTGGAACCCGTGCTTACACGAAGATAGTAAATCCCATGAAAAAGCTAAAACCTAGAATAAATTTCTAAGTTAATATTTTGTTTTGCCTATTACATCCAATATTGTAAGCTAAAACTATGTTTCGGCAGTGATGACGTATGTCCACTGAATCGAAACAGTTAAATTCAAATGCATTTTTAATTTTTGATATGTTGCTTTTAAGTTTCTTCAAGTATGTTTCAATACATAATTCAAGCAAATATCCACAGAAAGTTGTATCAATGTAACTTATAACACATTATTTATAATCAAAATACTTCTAAATTTTTAACTAAATATTTTAAAAACTAAAGAAATTGTTTCTAGTTATCACTACAGAACTGTATAAAAACTCAACCTTACATTAATAAAAATTTTTGGAAAATAAATTTAGAAACTGTCTAAATGTTACGTTTTTTTTATGATGGGTTTTATCGTTATTGAAAGATTTACTAATAATTTTTTGCTGCATTTACTTTTTTTTTAAACCTATATCAAGTTCTTCACATACGTACCTAATTTATAAAATTTGATCTTTCCAGATATTAGACAAAAAGTATCATTACAAGTAAATTGATTTAAATAATTTAAAGACAATTACATGTTTCACATTTAAAAATTCTATAAACACATTTAATGTTGTATTTTAGCATGTTAAAATGCACATGATTTTCCTTAATTTTACCAATTGCAGCAACTATATTTCTAGAAGCATTATTTCATAATAATCAACAAAAAGAAATTCTGATTTATTGCTATAAAGTGGCCATTATTTCATAATAATCAACAATAAGTTTTGGCTTACTGCAATAAAGCTGCCATTTCACTAAGCTTTCAAATGAGTACACCTCTATGGACGGAGTTGTAATGACGAGTTAAATGAGATTTGTGTCCATATGACTTGAGGCATATAGTGCAAACAAATGGCTTATCACCTGTGTGTTTCACCATATGCAATTCTAAGTTGAGCTTTCGAGTGAATCGCTGCCCACAAATATCGCACATATGAGGTCTTTTTTCAGCATCTGTATCGAGAATCGGTTTCTGAAGGAAGCAAATATTACAGGCGCTGCATACGTCTCGTTTCTTGTTGACAGAAATCGTAAGTTGATCTGAAACCGATCGTTCGTACATTAGGTACTCTTTGCAGATCCGGCATTGTCGTTGGTCCAGTAACAACGTATTGTTTAATTTTTCGTTTTGCTTGCTTTGACGTTCACTTCTTCTGGTTCCTTTGGTAACCGGTCTATCCTTTCTCTTTTTAGAAGGTTTCTTGACTGGCGGTATTTCTGATTCAGGTTTCTTCTTTCCGGAGAGATCAGAATTTCGCATTTCGTTACGTTGTTCAGCATGCCTTGGTGGACTTGATGCAGTGCAGGTTGCAGGAGCGCAAGTGTTTTTGGAAACCTCCTTTGCTCGAGGTCTCAGTTCGAAACTGCATTGTGTCATCAGACTGGTTTCATTCATTATTGAAATCAATGTTTGAGTCGTCACTGAGCGGTGAGTCGGTGTTTCGGTGAGTCGGTCTGTGAGTCTTTGTTTAAGCACCGAGTTTTTCGATTTTTTCTTCTTTTTCGATTGCAAGCGGGGCTTTTTACAAATGTCTGATGAACCTTTTTCAGGAAGTGTTAAGTCATTTTCAGTAGAGTTCAGTATATCGTTGGGTTCTGTGTTGCTGTTTACCAGATCACCAGAATCATCGGTCATTTGGACATCGTGTGTTAATATCGACGAACAATTTATTGATTCACACTCAGGTAAAGCATTAGTGTTTTTTTCAACATGGGAATCTTTTTCATTTGTCAAAAGATCAGTAGAAGTAATTCGTGCACTAAATACAGTCCCATTTGAACTCTCGAGAACCGGTAGTGCAATAGGAGAGGGGGCTTCGGCTGTCTTTAAAGTCGAATGACTTTCTTCAACACTAATGTCAGGTTCCTTGCTTTGAGGAGTTTCAATCGGGGATTGCATAGATGCTACTAAATCATTGGAATGCTTTGAAATATTTGGCGAAGATAACTTGTTTTCGTTTTCAAGCACCGCAATGTTATCGTTGTAATTTTCGCTTAGCTTAATGGTACCAGTATCCAACGAGACCACTTGTTTCAATACAGCAGCTGCTTCAGGTGCATTATTTTTTAGTGAAATATCCTCTGAAGTTGATTTTGTGCCCCCAACTATATATTGTTGTTCATCCGTTTCTTTTTCGTTTACAGAAAAATAATCAGTACTAGGAGGTTGGGTAGTGTGTAAAGGTGAAGGCTCTTGATGTGGTGTACTAAATTGGCTTTCTGAAGATATCAAAGGGGTCTCTTTGATGGAACCTTCAACTTTCTTTGTAGATTTCGAATCTGGTAGATTAAAATCTATCTTATTTCGCTTTTGGGTAGAATGCATAATTGCAGATGTGTAAAGCTTCATATTTTCAACCGTATAAAATCCAGAAGTTTCTTTATTCATTTGGTATTTTATGGTACTAGATATCGGTTTACTAGAGTTTTGAAATGTCGGTCGACTCTTGTCAACATCTGTCTCAACGGGAAAGCTTATTTCAGACTCAATTTCACCAATCTGGCTTACAGGTTTTGAGTTTTCATTCTGCAAAACTGTAACGCATCGTGACAAGTCCGTAGGTTCTTCAGTGGTGGACTGAATTGTAGCAGCAGGTGAATTGCTAGAAGATTCTTTGGGATTGTTGTTAATAAATTCAAACGTATCATATTTTATTAAATTCATCGCCGAGCACTCAGGACTAGAAATTGGGGAGATGCTTGGAATCTGCTTTGATGATTTGATGTTGTTCACGTTAACTAACAGTCCTCCAGCATTTCCATTTGAAAAAACAGAACTTGAATCTGCTTCATGAATTCGATTTGTTGAAGTATCAACCACATTCTGGTCTTTAGGAGAATATGAAATTCTGCAAGGGGGGATTTCATGACGGTCCAAAACTATTTTATCAGAAATTTTCATCTTTATTTTCGTATTTCTTGTGCAAGTTACCTTTGAACTAGATGTATAATACGTCGCTACTTTACCAGTTTCTGTTCGAAATTTCTTTGACGAATTACCGCTTAGGTCTGTGGGAAAATCCACACTTTCATTGTTTTCTCTTGGCAAAACACAGCAGTCATCTGAAATGGTCTGTTTTCTTGAATCGTTAGAAAAACGATGCCTTTTTAAAGCGAAAGAGCTTTCAGGTGAATTTTTTTCAACATCATATATTGAACCATACTCACAATAATTATTTTGTTTAACTCTACTATTTCTGGAACTTAAAGTTATAGAATTCGGAATACTGTAAGGAGCTGTTAAATTGCAAAAATCTGAGTTTTTAAATATTATCGGCCTAATTTTTTCCGTAGCGGAAACTATACGTGGATTATAATTTCTTGAACTTTGGTAATTTTCATTAACATTTACTACAGTTGCTTCGTTAAGAGTTTGAGTAGTCAAGGTCTGATTTCTCAATAAGGATGGTTCCTGATAAGTAGAATTAACGATAACACGTTCATCAAAATCACAAGAATAAGGAATAAAATTTGTACCTGGTGATACTGGCTTGTTTTCCGAAGAAGGGTTAAAGTTACCTCCAAATTGGATTTTATTGCTTTCCAAATTATAGCTGCAGTGATCCCAATCTTTGGTATCTGAATCCATATAATTTAAAGATCTTTCAAAACTAGCTGGTGATCTTTCCTGTGGCATGAAGGCAGGGGGTGAAGGAGTATTAGTGCTGAAACTTGGCGTGATAAATCTTGGTTCAGCTGAAGTTCCAAGATTGGTATTTGCAAACGACTGTACTCGAGAGCCCGGTTTGATTTCATTAAAACTCGGTAAACGTTGATCTTGGAAACTGGAACCAATTTCACCTAACGTCAACTGGTTTGAACAATTGGCAGATGAAATAGTGGTTTGCAGAACATTAACACCAGTTGGAGAATTGGGGTGCCAAGAATAATGATCAATTCCGAATTTCGAACTTTGACACAGTGATGGTTTAGCTTGCTGATTGTTCAAGGGAGTCGATTGGTTTCTTCTAGTATCAGTTAATTCCTTGTCTGTTGAAAAATATATGGTTTGAGCGTTTGAGTGAATCGGAAAGTATGACATGTTTCTAAATATTTTTTTAAAAATAATCTAAGATTCCGATGAATGCTGTGATTATAATATAAATTTTATACCTGGAGCAACTAAAGTAGTAAAGATATTTGTGATGAGTAACTTAAATAAGTTATAAATTCGTCCAATTAACAAATTCTTCCAATTAACAAATTCTTCCAATAAACAAATTCTTCCAATAAACAAATTCTACCAATAAACAAATTCTACCAATAAACAAATTCTTCCAATAAACAAATTCTACCAATAAACAAATTCTACTAATAAACAAACTCTTCACGTAAACAAATTCTTCCAATGAACAATTCTTTTTGAACAATGAAGTGATTCAAATCAATTGTGTGATTCAGATTAAGCAAAGTTCTTCTTGAAATAATCTGACTTAGGTTTCGAAGGTTGAGCTTTTTCAACAAACAATTACCATATATGGAGCAATTCAAACTGTTGATCAACTTCAGATTACAGAAGTTTCAATACACTCAGTAAAAAATGTGACCAGACACAAGTCGAAGTTTCTTGTAATAATATGAAATATATTTCTTATGCTAAGTTCTTTCAATAAACGGTTATTTAGCTGTGGCAGCTTAAATTGCTAATTTGGAAATCTATCAGCAATAATAAACTTTGATACATGAAAAGAATTCCAGTAAAATTTTATTAGAAATAGAGCGCGATTCAAATCGAAGTTTCTTTAAACAGTGTAAGTAATTATATATTCTTATAAGATGAGCTCTTTCAATAAACAATTCTTAAACTGGCACTATTAAAGTTGTTAATCAAGAAATCTGCCTGTAATAATCAACATCCCTAATACATAGAATAGTTCTGTAGTATAATTCAGATAATAAGCTCTTCCAATAAGCAATTCTTATGAATGATACAACGGAAGTTGTTAAGTAAATATATTCTACGGCAATAATCAAGTTTCCGTAATTTATAAAATAGTTTGAATAAACTGTTCATAGAAACATTATAACATTCAAGTCTTTAAATAATCGTAGTTGTAATATATTACAGATGCTGTACTCTTCATATAAACATTTATTATAACTATGGTAACTAAAGTTTTTAAGCAAGAAATTATCTATTATGATCAGCTGCGATAATAGCAGCTTTTCAGGCAATTGTTGATACACAGAGATCAACTTTTGTTCAGATAATAAAGTTTCTAACAATCAAGTAAAAATAACATAATTTAATAATTAGGAAATAAATTCAGGTACCTTAAAGCAGGATTTCATTCAAATACGAGAAAAACATGAATTCTCTTAATTCTAGTTCAAATTACTAGAAGCGTTGAACTGTCTTGTAAACAAAACAGTTTAATATTTCGTTTGCGACTGAAGTTGGCGAATCAAATCCGACTTGCGCAGATAGATCTGTAAAAACGGCTTCGTTTTATTTCGCCAAAAATAAATCGACAGACAAGGACTTTTTTATTTTATATAAGTAAGAAAATAATTTTTAAAATTTAAAAGCACATTGATCTGTTCTTTACAATCTTTTGAAAACTTAAAAAATGCGAAGAATATTAATTACGCAATACAAGCACACGTGTGAAAGTGAAAATTTTCGAATTTGCTAATTTTTCTTCCAAGAATGAACGATCTGTTCTATTTGAAAATGCTTCTGAAGAAGTCGTTTAAAAACTGTATCCAGTTGTTTTATATCATTTTAATTAAAACTTGCAAAAATACATCCTAAATTAAAGTATTAAATTTATTTTCTGATTTCCCCAAAAATGACTTAAGTTTCAAATTAAACTTTAAATGCATTTCACTCATCATAGTGCTGGGATTTTCACTGTTTTTAATCTATTTTTTTTTACTCAGCTTAAGTTCATCTAATTGAAGGAGAATAATTACAACTCAATTCAACCAAAAAATATCGAAACTAATTTATGAGTAAAATAATCAAAGTTTCAATTTAAAAATTCGATTGGTAAGTTATGTGATTAAGTACAGAATTTAATGGCATATGACATATTACTGTACACTTTCACACCTAACAACTTTAACATTTAACTATATAAAACGGTGCTATAAACTAAATCTGAGTACAAAGTATCTAGGAAAGGTAAGGTAATCAGAAAAACGAGATAAAGTAAACCCACCAATAAGGATTTAAAAATCTGAAAAAATACTTAAAAATTAAGCGTTGGTTTTTTGGTAATTTATTTATTTTTTTGACTTTTGAGTTAATTATGAAATCTTATTAGCAAGAATTGCTGGCATTTTTAGCAATCGCTAAATTTTGAGCGTTTTTGAGCATCATGCTTTGCTACCAAGGTTGATAATTATTTAAAATGTAAAAATTTCGATTTACGTCTAATGATGAAAAAAAAAGCGTTGAATATTGTTGTTTAAAAATATTAGTTCATTTTTTTTTAAACTTAATTTGTTAGCTTTGGAAACATGAAAATTGTAACGTCGGTAAAGAATGGAAGTTAGCTTTTTTAAAATTAATAATCCTTCATGCAAATTTAATATATATATATATATATATTAAAACATAACATATTAGCATGGAACACAAAAAATGTACTGTTATTAAGTGCTTTATTCTGGATCAAATAAACCCCACCCAGAAATGAGGAGTAACCACACAAAAGTTGTCCTCACAGAAGAATATGGGAATGGAACATTCTCAGGGTTAATTCAACTGTTTTCTTAAATCCGAGAAAATTTGTTATTTTAAAGTTTTTTTTTGTCAGATTGAAACGAAATGGATTAAATAGTTTAAAGGACTGAGTTATATTGCAACCTTTTACATTGCTTGACACAGACTGCAAAAATATTTTAATAACTTTTGACTTTATGTTTGCATTATGATTTAGGAATTAATAATACTTGCTCAAAGGCCTAACCACATATATGCTAAATAATTAGTGTGTAGGTGGTATTTTAAGTTTCGGAATCAAAAACAAAAGTTTCAATTTCCAACAGAAGCCATAATTTGCAGATTACAGTTGCCCTCCCCCCATTTTGAGGGCAAGAACCTAAATAAGTAGAAAAAAGTACGTTTATTGAAAGGGCAGATGTGTTTGATTTCGTATCTTGAAATATTATCTACACTAATTAATTAGCATATTTAAGGTTAAGCTCTCGAATATTTAAGGCCAGATACTATTGAAATCAATTCCTAGTACAAGAAAATCCGATCACTAAATCGAAAGTTTCGGGGCTTTCATTTACTAATTTTTAATTTTAACAGTACAATAATTGTACAATTGCTGCACCATGGTCGTAACGAATAACCGAGACAATAATTGTTAAATCTTTACATAATGAACTTTTCAGTTTACCAGTTAAGTTGAATGCTTAAATTTTCAGATATATATTGAATTCCCATAATATAGTAAGCAATTGTAAACAAAAAATAGGACTTCTTTCTATTTCCGAATATAGCTACACGTTGTGCGGGAAATAATAGGATTTTAGTCTTATTGCGGTCTTTTCTATTTGAAGAAAAATTGAATTCTTGGACAAAGTATGAAACTTTGTTTAAATATTTGAAATTAAAAAAAAAATCAAGTGTTTTTATTAAGGTTTGAAAAAAAGTTTTTAACAATTAAAAAAAAAATCCGGTTATACGCATTTTTAATGAATTTTTCCTTGAAAAAATTAAAAGAATAAAAATATTCCGCAAACAAGCAAAAAAAGAAAAGAAAACATTAAAAAGAATAAAATGGAATAAAGATAAACAATTTCGGTTTTTTTACTTGCTGAACGTTTGTAGAATACATTAAAGCTACTTTCGGAATGAAATAGCTCGTTAAAGTAAATTTTAAGTTTGAAATTAGATTTATCAAAATAAATTTATAAAAATCAATATACCTAACCGAGTAATTATTTTGCAACGTCTATAGCATAAATTATATATTTTAAATTAAGTTTCGAATTTAATAGTTTGATGAAAAGCATACGAAGTTAATATAACGTTAGGTAAAATGCTAAATATATAGCCGGCTCAGAACGAAACCTTCACATCTTGAAATCTGTTCTAAGTCTAAAATAACATTCTATAAATTAATAATGAATCAATTCTAACAACAGCTAACTCTTTTAATTTAGAGATCAATATTGCATTTATTAAGATTTTGTTAACCACAACCAAACTTCGATATAGAACTATTTCGAGCTAGGCCAGTATCGTTTTGTGAGTGCAAAATTTAATTTTAATTTTTAGAAAAAAGTCAATACTCACCTAAATTTCCTTTAAAAAAAACTGTTTATAGATTTCAATAGTTTTCAAGCAGTTGTTTGAAATTTGAAAAATGTTACGGTTGCCAAGAAAACACTAACGATAAAAAAAGTGAAAACGTTGATAATCTACTCTTGTAATGAAGTGAAAAGAATTTTAAAAACAATTTTGTCTACTATTCATTGACCTAAGAGTTCTTTGAAGATTTGAGCCTGCATCTGGTCAGCCCTCCATTTCTGGACTTTAAATATCTAGTCTTCTGCATTTTTCAGGTCCTCTTCGACATCCTAAAACATCTTCTTGATCTTCCACTTGGTCCAAGACAATCAGGATTTGTCTCGAAGATTTCTGTTATTACTTACCCTCTGAATATGATTTAACCATCTCAATTTTCTTATTTTTTTATATCGGTAAAAATATCAATGTCACCATACTTTTCCGCAATTTCCGAAATGTTCCTTTTCCATTCCAAAAATTTTCTTCATCACCTACTTCTTCTCCCAGATTAACAAACGATCTTGAACTTTTCACACCATTTCACCTTTTCACACTTTTCAAATCCAAGAACCACTTTCATTCAGAGGCACATAGTCTTGAAAAGAACGTTATAGTCTTGTAAAGAACGTTGAAAAGAACGCACATAGCCTGTTAAAGAACGTGCATTTAGGGTGAGATACAAGTATATTTTTACATTGTTTGAATACACCAATTAGTCTTATTTGCCATTCGTTATCTCAATTGTTACTGTTTTTAGCAATATTGAATTCTAATTCGGCAAATCGTTTCATCCATGCGAGGATTTCACCACCAAGTGTTAAGCTTTGCATGTTAATAAACATAAGTTTATTTCTGGTGGCAACAAGACAATCTTGGCAAATAGTATGGGCAGATGAGCGAGGTGGCAATGAAGCTGGGTTACAAGTTCATGAAATAAAACTTTCTTGTCAGTACATATAGAATACCAGCAAAATAGTTAGGTTAATGAAAAAAAAGATTAAAAAATTCACTTAATGTAACATAGAATGTTGAATTTAGCTCATCCATTTAAGAGAAACGTTTGCAATATAACTCGTTCATCTGTAATTTTCTCGTCCAGTTCTCAGTTCGTTCATAGATTCTTGGTTCATGGTGCTTGATGCAGGGTGATAGATATTTATGTCTAGAGCTAAGCTTTTTTACTAAAATAAGGTAATATAAGTTTTCTGATCATCACTGGGTCAGAAATTGGAAAGAAATTTTTAAGATAAATATTTAAAATCTATCTTGACGTTGTGAACTATACCTTGATCATTCTTACCTACCGTGGAGCCAAAAATCATTTCGAGTGCTTTATGCAAAAATTGATAAATTACGTAATCTTAGCTCGTTCTACCTAAAGGGGCTCTTTGAATCAATGAATATTTTTATGTGATGATGAATGGCTACTAAGTTTATATATTCTTTAAAACGAGTGGAAGTTATCAGCTTTTCACAATTGAACTTTTTCGTATATCACCACTGATACTTAAAGTGAACTCTCATAGCGTTCTATTAGCAGGCTTTTAAATTTGTATCCATATTTTTTAATCCTGACTCGAAAATAAAGTCAATCCTTCACTCGTTCAACGTGTTTAAACACTGTAATAGCATGACCAGATGGATATTTTTTTAACGCAACACGTTAATATATTTTATGTACTTTATTTAAGCTAAATTAATAATTAAATTTCCAAATTTAATTGCCAAAGTCTAAAAGACAGATAGCTGTGAGTTCGTATCTCCAATCAAGAAAGGATAGTTACCCAACCGATAACATGATATTTTAGCTTTATTTTTTAGTTCGATTACATTTTTAAATTAACTTAGTCTTGTAATTTTTGCTAAACTATAAAATATCGATTGATTTTATTGTTTCAGTAAGTTGTCTTCTTGCTTTGAATCAAGGCTTTATTTATGTTGCTGTTTATCAATCGTTTGAATGAATATCAAAAAACAATATCGTTGATTTTTTTATCGTGTCCATGGACAATTGAATGACCTCGTGTGCCTTTAAAATTGCATCCGTAAGCTCCAATACATCATTACTGTAGAGGATCTCACGAAGTTCTGAAACCAGTGGCACCATACCCAGTTGTAAAACATATGGGGTAAGGGCTGGGCACTCGAGAATGTGATCCGGGGTAAGTTGGATATCGGTGCAGTTCTTGCAGGGAATATAAGTTCTTATTTTGTCGGGAAGAATTTTCATCCATTTAAAGTGGTTTGTTCTTAGTCTTGTAATTGTTGATGTTAAGATTCTGGAACAATCAAAGTCAGTAATGAGAGGTTTTCTTGAAGGAATGGGGCAGAAGTCTGTGTCTTGCAACTGCATTTGAGTCAGCAAGCGTGATGGTGGTGCAAGGTTGATCGGCACCTCTGCCTTCCTTAGCCAAGGAGTCCGCACACTCGTTTCCCTCAATAATATCGTTGTAAAATTTTGGTCAAAAAGTTTTAATCAATCACTAAGCCTCAGATTAACAAATCAATTTCGTATGTCATTTGATTCACAACATTTGTCATTGTATGATGTCATTTGATTTGATTGAAATTCTAATTCCGTTTGTTTAGAAGAATTATTTACTGTTAGCAGTAGAAATCAATCGGTTTGACTTAATATTTAAGAGGGTAGCAACAAATAACGGAGGGAAACATATTCAAATTTATTTTTATTAATTTAGAGAAGTTTACAAAAATAACAATAAATAATATCTTGGACCGTTTTTGAAAACACGGATAAGAGTTTTTGAAGTGATATAATTTCGGCAGTGATAAAGAATGACAAACGTGTCTTGAAATTTTCAGCAATTGGCCGCAAGTCTTCTAGTGAAAATCGGGCTCTCTTCAACATTTGAATTGCTTAAGTGACAACAAATTTTTGAGCCCTGTCCCTCGAAATAGACTTCACATCAGAGTCCACGGGATTGAGTTCCGATGAGATGAGCGACCTTTCCGCGGATGTGATCGAATCCAGAAAAGGTTTATTGAAACCATTTATCATTCATCTATTATTTTTCCTAGTGACGACTCGGATCTGCATTTTGAAGTGCTGTTAGGTACACGGAAGTACCACGGATTCGAGGATTTTCCGTTAGTATTCTTCTTGGTTGATATTTGACCACCTGATTTACAAAGACGAGGAGTGTCTTGTCGATAGAGCAAATTCCCTGCCAAACAGTAACCGACTGCAGATTATGGCATTGGTCAGTATCAACGTACCAGTATTGGGAGTATCAACGTACCAGATCCTAA